CGAGACGTCTCCGTCCTCGCTGACGTCCACGAGACGTCTCCGTCCTCACTGACGTCCTGCCTTCAGAATAGAAACCGGAGCCAACAGCTGCCGTGGTTCCGTGACAGAAGGACCTATTCTGGGATCGCAGAATTCTCTCTCGCTGCTAAAAGTGAACTGCTGTGGGGTCAGAGTCTGAGACGGCAGCTCAATAACCAGCGGGGGAGGGGGGGGGGGGGCCACCAGCTTTACCTGCTGTAAACAGCTGAAGCGGGGGGAGACGGGAGGAGACATGTCCGAGCTGCAAGACGAGACAAAATAAAGCAACGTCTGATCCCTGCAGCAGCTTCTGGCTCTCATGAACTTTGTTTATTTCAGAGAGTTGATCAAACTTCCTGTTTTCTTTCTGTCCGTTTGAATTAACTTTATTTTAGCTGTCAGCGGACGCACTGGGTACTGGGAGTTTAATCTGGTCCCTGAGCTGACTCATGGGAGACCAGTAGGAGACACACAATTGTGGGAATTGATTTTTCCGCTGCAGTCTTACTGAACTCTAAACTACAACCAAGTGACCGCTGATCCACAGGGCCAGGGATTTTGTGTGCACAACTTACACACCTGATTATTGGCCGAGCACGCCGTTCTGTTTCCACCTCGGTTTGTTTCTGCACCGACCCCCACAGACACGATTTAATCTGCTGTGTCTGTTAAAATGAAGACAGGGACTCGGACCAGTTTTATTAACAACCGCTGGTCTGAGACCAGGATGTGGTGCTTTCTGTCACGTGCACAGGTCATGCACAGCTGGAGGTCTCTTGAGACACGGTCGAGGCTTCCACAGCGACTTTGGGACTATTCTGAGAGACGTTGTCTCATGTTCAAAAGTCCAGCGAGTCGAAGACGCACTAAAGAAAGTTGAGAACCCGTGACTCGTGCACCATCTCAGCCCAGAAGAAGCGAACTGTTGGACAAACTTAGCAAAACAACTTCTCTTGGACTCACGGTGACGTAGCTTTGCACGTGTACGTACCTGCTGAAGAACTGGGACACGAGAACACTCCTGTGGAGCACGAGCACATTTATCTGGACCAGATGTAGATTTGGTCACGTTGAAGCTTCTTCTTGTCTCCAAGCAGTCAAAATGTCTCCAGCAGTGGTGGTGAGACACGATCTGCTGCTGTCTGCTGGAGCTCTGCAACCTGAACAACAAACTGGAACATCTCCAGCTCCTCTCCCACAACAAGCTGGTTTAATGACATCACACGTGCTAAAACAGCAATCTTTAACTGGTGGCCAGTGGGACACTTCCTTTCCTCCATCCGCCCATCCATCCATCCGTCCATCCATCCGTCGATCCATCCATCCGTCCGTCCATCCATCCGTTGATCCATCCATCTGTCCATCCATCCGACCATCCGTCCATCCATCCATCCGTCCATCCATACATCCATCCGTCCATCCATCCATCCGTCCATCCGTCCATCCATCCTTCCATCCATCCATCCGTCCATCCATCCATCCGTCCATCCGTCCATCCATCCATCCATCCATCCATCCGTCCATCCGTCCATCCATCCATCCATCCGTCCATCCATCCATCTGTCATCTTACTCTTATTCTGGACTCAGGTCTTGGGGGCAGCATCTTGAGCAGGGAGGTCCAGACATCTCTTTCCACAGCCTCTTCTAATGCTTCTGGGAGGACTCCCAAGTTGTTCCCAGGCCAACAGAGAGACGTAGTCTCTCCAATGCGTCCTGGGTCTTCACCGAGGTCTCCTCCCAGTCGGACATGCCTGAACCACCTCAACTGGCCTCACAAACACAGAAGATGTTGGAGTCAGTCTCCCCACCATCACAGACATCTACACCTCCAGATGCAGAAAGAGGGCCACCTGCATCATGAAGGACCACACTCACCCAGCACATACACTTTTTGCCCCACTCCCCTCAGGAAGGAGGTTAAGGAGCATTAAGTGTAGAACCACTAGACTGAGGAACAGCTTCTACCCTGAGGCTGTTAGACTCATGAATCTCTAACCAGGAGAATCACTGTGAAAAACCACATCATGTTGCTGCTGATCAGTTTCATGTTGCTGCTGATCAGTTTCATGTTGCTGCTGATCTATTTCATGTTGCTGCTGATCTGTTTCATGTAGCTGCTGATCAGTTTCATGTTGCTGCTGATCAGTTTCATGTTGCTGCTGATCTATTTCATGTTGCTGCTGATCAGTTTCATGTTGCTGCTGATCTATTTCATGTTGCTGCTGATCAGTTTCATGTAGCTGTGTTCATGCGTGCTCATCTGCTCACACAGACTCGTGTCATAACGACAGCAATGAATAAGTTTGACCAAACGTCGATGAAATTCAGAAACGAGTGAAAGTCGTTAAAGTGTTTCGTAGTGGAGCACAAAACGAGGAGCTTCTATTGAAACGTTAACCAAAAGGTGTTTCAATGACCTGGCAAAATAAAACGTTTTAATACCAAAATAAAGGTTTGAACTTGACATGACTTTCTTAGAGCAGCTGAACTGACAGAAGATGACCTCTGAAGTTCTTCTGTCTCTGCAGGGGGAGACGGAGGTCCCGTCCGTGGCCGTCACCAAAGGGCCCCAAGGACCCGGACTGGAGGGTTTGAACATTGAGCCAGATTTCTACGACGTCCCTGTAGACCTCTCCTCTGATGAAGAGGGTCTGGGCGAGGAGGATCCAGACCCCTCACGAGCAACTCGCCTCAAGAAGTCCATGGTGAAGAGCACGGAGACCCTGAAGGCCGCCTTCTCCAAGGAGAACATGAGCAAAACCAAAGACACCCTGGGCTCCAAGCTGCACAACCTGGGCGAGAAGGTCATGCCGCCAGAGCGGAGGGAGAAGATGCACCAGGCCGGCGAGCGGCTGAAGCAGTCCGGCGAGCGGCTCAAGACCAACATCGCCAAGAAGGCTCCGAGCAAGGAGGCGTTCCGCATCAAGCTGAAGAAGGAGAGGGCCGTCGCCGAGGGCCAGGAGGGCGCCGAGGCCGAGCCCGGCACCCAGGCCGAGGAGGAGAAACCAGCAGGAGGCGTAACCGCGGAAACCAAGAGGGAGGGGCCGGTGGAGGAGGCCGGAGCGACTCGAGTAACAGAATAAGACAACAGGAAGTGATCGAGGCGGGATCACATCTGTCCGTCAACATCGACGACGGATTATTGGTCTCAATATAAAAATAAATTATAGTTCTTCATTTTTAAATATCCAGTTATTTACAACATCTGGTCAACAACACGATGAGCAAAGTTCAGGTTTAATCGAAGCGTGTCGAACGAGAGAGTCCGGATGGTGAGAGGATCAGAGTCCAGAAAGGGTCAAAGGTCAGGGAGAGAAGGAGATCTGAATGTTGACGTTTGTTTCTCTGCGTGAACGGAGAACTTCCAACTGTGTCGGGTCTGAAGACGTGTCGGGTCTGAAGACGTGTCGGGTCTGAAGACGTGTCGGGTCTGAAGACGTGTCCTCGGCGGGTCTGTCGGCGAACAGCGAGCACAGAGACCGACGCTCTAAACGTTAAACACGCGTCGCTCCAGCTGTTTGTTCGTGTTTACAACATGTTACAGATTCTGTGTGAGGCGACGCTGGACGGTCCAGAACCTGAAGCTCCGCGTGATGAAACAGCAGCTGGACGGTCCAGTTTGAGGAGCAGGGTTAGGGTTAGGAGGAGCAGCTTCAGAGCGTTGAGCTTCACTTCCTGTAGGAACGTTTTTATCTGCGGTCATGGTTTTTTTGGGGGTTTTTTTTGGGGGGGGGGTGATTTCTGACGTCACTGCTTTAAATAAAACGTTACATTTTCTGCTCCTCACTCTTCACAACAATCCATCATTAGCTTTTAAAGAGCGGTCAGCGCAGTGTGTTATTCTGAAAGTCCACTTCCTGTACTGGAGCTCGTTGCTGCAGGAGGTGAAACTTATTTAGACGCATTTATTCTGATTTCAGTTTGTTTTTACAATTATCATGAAGACAAACAACTGATTGTTGCTGTAAACACTTTGTTTTAATTTTATATAAATAAAGTTCACCTGAAACCAAAAAACGAGTTTTTCTTCTGACATTCATGAGTTTGAATTGGGGGCAGCACGGTGGTGCAGCTGGTAGAGCTGCTGCCTCTCAGCGAGCAGGTCCCTGGTTCAAACCCCGGTCCAGGGGCCTTTCTGGGTGGAGTTTGCATGTTCTCTCCGTGCATGTGTGGGTTTTCTCCGGGTGCTCCAGTTTCCTCCCACAGACCAAAAACATGCATGTTAGGCTGATTGGTGACTCTAAATTGTCCCTAGGTGTGAGTGAGAGAGTGAATGGTTGTTTGTCTCGTTTGTCTCTATGTGTCCCTGTGATGGACTGGAGACCTGTCCAGGGTGTCCCCCGCCCCTCGCACAGTGATCGCTGGACATGGGCACCGGCGACCCCCGTGACCCAAAATGGAAGAAGCGGGAAAAAGATAATGGATGGATGGATGGATGGATGGATGGGTTTGAACTGATTCGGTTGTTTTGAAAGAAGTTTATTATTATTTTCAAAATACGACTAATTCTTATTTTGAGTCTTAAACTTTCATGAATAAAAGACTGTAAGAATATTTTTATAGTTTTCATCAGGGCTTTGCAGATTTAAAAAATAACAACTGAAATGCTTCCTGGGTGGTTTTCACGTCTGATTCTTGGACTTCCTTCCAGATGTTTCTTCATGAGAAACATCTGCTGACCAGCAGAGTCCTCCGAACGAAGAGCTTCGCTCCAGAGGACATTTACCCCCGAGCTGTCTCGTCCAGGAGACGAGCAGCTGCAGCACAAACGCTGCAGAGATGATCCGTGCTGGAAGAGATGATCCGTGCTGGAAGAGATGATCCGTGCTGG